ATTACTAAACACAACATGGTTAATATGCTTGTTTTTATGAAATGCACATTTTCAAAAGAGAGAAAAAAAAATCAAGCTGTGGCAGCAGCTTTAATTCTCCCGTTAACGTTTAACCATCGGGAGGCTTGTGACGCTGCAGGGCTGCTGAAGCCGCTGAAGGTCCGGTGAAGTGATCCGGACCATGAGTTCGGAGGCGCTCGGTCGCTTTCTGCTGCCTGGAAACAATTAATACATAAAAACACTCAAGTCAGGCCGTTTCTGGGAGTTTGTCATTAACTGCAGAAAAGGTCAGGCAGAGGGAAACCTTACCAACAGCAACACACACACACACACACACACACACCTCTGCCTAATAGCATTGATTGGTAATAACCAACATAATGACATCGTACTGAGTTTATTTTGATTAAAATAACCCAATTAAACGCCATTTATCGTCATTTCCATTTCAAATGTTTTTAGAGGGAATTCTCTTGCATTTATAAATACACTGCAAAAACGATGTAGAAATAAATCAAAGTTTCCTAAATGATATTTATGCATTAAACCTCAATTTGAGCAGGTAAGATGACCTGAGTATTTTTAATCATAAAATGAGATAATTAGATAAAATGCACTTGAAATAAGAAAACGCAATGTTTTTTTCCCCTTATTTTAAATGTATACTGTCTTGTTTCGTTGGCAAAGTGTCTCACTGAGCTCCTCAATTCAAGAAAAATTAAATTATTTAAAAAAAAAGACCTATTTAGGTTTTAATTTAAAGCATTTTGTTGAATTATTTCTTTTTAAGTAGGTTCTTATTTCCTCCCCGAAATATTGGAGCATTTTAGGACTAATCTAAAAACCCAAATAATTTTTATTATTTTCAAAGCGTAAATCGAGTAGCGTAAAGCGTAAAGTAGATAATGTTTGGATGAAAACAACAAAGCGGTGAATGAGCGAATTCCTGTGAGCATTTATCCATCTGCTGCTTCCAGCGGCTGTTTTCACTTCGTCGACATCTCTCGACTTTACAAGGAGTCATAAAGAGCAATAAAGCCATAAAAATCCGATGTCTGTGCGCGCACACTCACACACACACACACGCACCCCCAACAACACGCACCCCCACGCACAGGAGCAAAGAAGAGCCATAAAGCCATAAAGTAGAGGTCCGACTCTTTTAGCTTTAATTGTCGCTCATCTCTGAAGTTTCTCACATTCCTGAGCTTCCTTCAGATGTTTACACTAAAGTTGCTCTCAGACACACACCACTGATTTACTATTCGGGGAAAACAGGCAGCTTAACAACTAAATCCGTTATGAAAAATATGAAACGTGGCTTCTAATCATGACTGGAAGCCGTGGGAGTCCAGCGTTTCCTGCGTAAATGTGGAGCTAAGACTAACCGACAGCCTTTAACGCTTCAATAAAATATAAAAGCATAAACATTTTAATCAATTATGTGAACAGAAAGTACCAGACGTAGAACAAAACTATACAGGAAGATAAATATTAGTAATAACTAGTAAAACCTCAGCATCTTTATATTAAGAAAATAGTTTTAAATCAAAGTTTAGAAGAACTGTAAAAAATAGCAACATTCCTCACAATACGGTTTAAAAGGAAAGCAAGAAAAACTCCCTTTGGTCAAATTTGACAAAATATAACAGATAAGCTCTTCTTTTATGATTTTTTAACTGCACAAAAAATATTACATAGGAAAAAACACTCTTAAACAACAGAGATCATTAACAGTGATTTAAAATAATTTAAACTATGACATTTAAGGGGTTTTATTTGTTTTCATTGATTCATTTATTTCAAATCACACACTGCATGACTTCAAGTTAAATTGTGGAGTTAAAACTGAACAGACCATTTGATTTAAAAAAAAAAATCAATCTGTGCACCGTCTGCAGCCGCAAACAGACGCTCCGTTTGCGCCAAACTCTCCAAACGTCTGACAGGAAGCGCACACCTGCAATATGTAGGGAGAGCCGCGGCTGGTTAGCAGCAGCCATGCCGCTGCCGTCATCTTCCTCCAACATGGCGGCGCTGCCTGCAGTCAGGAGGACGTGGAGCCTGCAGAAACAATTTCAATTTCACCACAACAGACCAACCAGCAGGTATCCAGTGACCTGATATTAACCATCAATATTAATTACTAATCAGGTTAGTTAAAAAAATCACTATGCATCACATCAATTTTAATACAATTTAGCATTATATAATAGACAATATTCATTATATATATATATTTTTTTCTATTTTGTTTTGTAAACATTGCTTTTATTTAATTTCCCTTCTATAAATGTTTTTCTTTCATAAATAGAAATGCAAACACTGTTGATTACTGAGAATAATTTCTGGTTTAATTTTTACTATAAAAAGTCTGGAAGAGCTTCATCAGCACTGATTTAAAATAAAATATAAAATGCATCAAGAAAAGTAAATCAAATAGGAAAATTTATGAATATTTATAATTAATCTTGTTAATTCTTTATGATATCTGATTGACATGTTTACCCCTTTGAAAATAAATTAGGGGCTTATTTCAGAGCATTTGTTGCCATCGTTACTGTAAATGCGGATTTAGGCTAAAATTTAAGACCATGTTGCGCAAAAAGATGAAAGTAATATGAGCATTACCGTCCCTGCGTCTGTCCGCGACTGCAGCTCATCTCTGTCCTTTTCCGTGAGGTGCTGGTCATCAATAATTAAACCCCAGTCAGCTCCAAAACAATCTGGCTGCTTCCCGTTCCCACAAAGCGGGGAGGAAATAGAGCGTCCTGCCAGCGAGAGAGGGAGGCCAGGAGGAGGGAGGTGCGGCTCAGAAAGCAGAAAGCAAGTTACACAGTAAAACTGCAAATTCTCCTCATTTCTTTTTCTTTCTTTTTTCCAGTAGGAAAAGGGAGAAATCAGCGTTCAGGTTTTTCAGCTTCCCAGATATCTCTGAGCAGAGTCTTTAATCATAGTAGAGCTGAGCTTTTTTGGAATGCATTGGGTGGGAGGGCAAAGTAAAAGCAAAAATAGAGTCTTTGTGTCGATTTATCAGTCGGACGGTCTGTAGTTTGGCCGTGGGGACAAGCCGCAGCCTGTGGAGGAAACAAAGAGAGACACAGAGAAGAGGATTTATTTATGGCTGCGGTTATTTTACAACCTCACTGACACACAGTTGGCTTGGAAAGAGCTTTCTTTCTTTCTTTCTTTCTTTCTTTCTTTCTTTCTTTCTTTCTTTCTTTCTTTCTTTCTTTCTTTCTTTCTTTCTTTCTTTCTTTCCACCATTAACGCCTCTTGCTCTCTGTCAAATTCTACTCGAACAGGAGCAATTACCAGTTTTTGTTCTTCCCTGAGATCCATATTGCCAGTTTTGCCATCCCAGAAATAAAGTTTAAAAGCACATCAACATATTTGTTCTTTGCACGATACAGTGCAACCTAAATAAAAATACAACTACAGACAAAAGCACTTAATAAACGATCCAAAAGAACAAAAAGAGGATTCAATTTTAAACATTCAACAAAAATATTATGATTCAACGTTTCCTCCTGCAAAAAAATAAGGACATTTAACACTAGGACCAGAATGAAGGTGCTTTTAGATGTTTTTTTTTAATTAATATTATTTTGTTTTTTTTTATTTATTCTGGAATGTTTAATATGGGAAAATTAAAGTGAAACTCTTTCTTTCTGTCTTTCTATCTTTCTTTCTTAGGAATAAAATGAGCGGTGTAGGCCTATATGACTGTGGGCGAGTGTTTTTTTATGTAAAGGTTTGATATAAATATCATCTTCCATCATTGTTGTATTTACATTTTCATTTAATCAGGATCCTGAAGCAGGATTGGATTCTAAAAGTTAACCAGTGGTCAATATAAACAATATCAAAATAATTAGACTTATAATTTTTCATTGTTGCTCCTATAGAGTGATAAAAATGCATGGTTTCATTCCTCGCGTGTTTACATTTTATGTTTATCCTCGTTTAACATGGAAACTAAACTAATTATTGAATTCAGTGGTTTGTATATCCTCCTCCTTCAGACACATGGAGGTCAATTCCTGATGCGTTGGCAGTGGAAAGGCTTTCAGGCCCAATCAGTGTCATTGAAACAGAAAAAAATTGGGTTTTTTCGGGACTGTTTCTTTTCTTCTTCTCCTCTTACCTTTCAGACTAATCAGTGTGACAGCAAAGGAAAATAATAATTCACGGCACACATTGATCACCCCCAAACAAACCTCAAAACTCCACCATGGTTTTTTTTTTTTTTTTTAACAATGAAGCATTTAGACAGTAGAAGATCACAGAGGCAGACATTAAATGATGCCAGGATTGGGGAACAGATTACCCAGAATGCCTGTGGAAGAGGACACACACGTAGCGGGATGTAAATGAAACCCAGAAAATAACAAACATGTAAACATCTAGATTATAAGAGCCTGGGTTCTACATCCAGGTCGCTCAGAACACCCCCCCCCCACACACACACACACACACACACACACACACACAGGGTGATATACGAGTCGCGCGCCCTGCTGCATGTTATGTTCTCTCAACAAATTCATTTGAACTCGATCTGTTGGCTGTTATCCACACAGTGCAAAAGGAAATGCGCTCAGTGTCCCCTGGTGGTGCAGCGGCAACTCAAACGCGCACACGCACGCGTGCACGCGCGCAGATCTTATGAGTCCAACATCGGATGAAGGACGTCGCGCGAGAAGAGAAACAATCAATTTAACGCGCGGAGAATTCCGCTGTGATTGCGCAATCTCACCGGGAGCCGCGAGAAGATTAGAAAGAGAAATGAAATGACAATTAGAAAGGGAGGGAAGCTGGAGATTGGAGAAGGGGAAATAAGAAGGGGGGGGGGGGGGCGGTTCCCACCCCCCCCCCCCCCCCCTCTCCTCGTCTCTCCAGCGAAAAGGAAAATTGAGGCAAACTAATGCCAGGCACGGAGTTTCCCATTGGACAGCCTTAGGTCAGCTGGTCTCTGACTCCCCCCTCTGACTCCCCCCTATGTTCCTCACCCAGTTCCTGTAACAAACACACACACGGACTGTTTGCTACCGAGCCCCCAACCAACACTGCCCAGCACTGGCACCCAGCCACCCCGACTTCACCCTCCTCACCCCTCCTCCCAGTCTGCGATAAAGTCCCTGATAGCAGCAGCAGCAGCAGCCGCTCCGTCTGCGGCTATAAAACACAACAAATCATAAAGTGCAGCAGGGAAGGCAGAGGAAGGAGGACGGGAGGAACCGTTAGCCTCGGTCCACTCCTCCTTCTTCTTCTTCATCGCGTTATCACTGTTGTTGTGTTTGTTAGTGCCCTCCTGTACTCCCCTCTCCTCTTCTTCTCCTCCTTCTTCTCCTTCCCACTTTTTTTTTTTTTTTTCTTACCAATGAGTTCCTATTTTGTAAACTCGTCGTTCCCGGTAATACCGGGAACGACTGGAGGAGGCCAAGCGGCGTCGGCAGAGCCCTTCCTCGGTCAGATCTCCCTGTATTCATCGGGATACGCCGACCACCCCCTCCGACACTACCAGGGGGCGGCGGCGGTGACTGCGGCCGCGGCGGTGGCGTACAGTGCTCACCAGGAGAAGCCTTACCCAGCCTCCACCTTCTACCAGCAGGCTGCGAACGGAGCGTACGGTGGGCACCGGGCGGCTGGCTTGGCGGTTGGGGGCGCTAACGGACCCAGTGCATGCGACTACGCCACAGCGGCAGCCGCGGCTGCGACGGCGGCCACGAACTTCTACCGAGACAAGGAACATCCGTGCGGTCTGGACGAACACCAGCTCGTCCTGAGTCAGGACGGCATGCACCGCAAAGTGGAGTGCGCCGGTCTTGGAGGAAAGGGACTCTTTGGAGAAGCGATGGATGACAAACAAACGGTGCCAACTCCCATTTATCCGTGGATGCAGCGGATGAACGCGTGTAACGGTGAGTGCGTCCTTCTTCCTTTTTCAACTGACGTTTTGTTTCCTCTGTCAGCCGTCCTCTCTCCCCCCCCTCCTCTGACTGGAGCTGCGTTATAAAGCTCGTTTGTTGGCTTACCAGTCAGTCAAGGGTTTAGTGTTTTATTGTCCGTCATAAAACTGGTTTGTTTGGCTGAAAGCCGCAGTTACTGTGTGACCTACTGACTGACGCAGCTGCCGAGGAGGGACGGCTGGGCTAAAAACAGAGTCTGCCTGGCGCTGCTGTCAGAGAGAAACAGCAGCAACACAAACATGCTGCCTCGGTTTGTCTCCGTTATGAGCTTCAATGATTCTCTTTGAAATCTGTAAGAAAACAGATCCTCCTGCTGCTGTTAGATATATAATAGCAGCTTTGAAGAAATTACGCAATTTTCTCAAAACAAACCATGCACTTTATTAAATTTTATGATTTTCCGCGCACTCTGTGCTGACTTTTCCAAAATCAGACATTATTAGACTGTAGAGGAATCCATTAAAACCGAAGCAAACAGAGACAGCTTAAAACAGAACGGTTTTAATGTCTTATTTTTCACTGTAAAAATTGGAAACAAATTTACTCTGTTGTGCTGCAATCTATAGATTGGCATTAATAAGAAACAAATTGCCTATTTGATTATTTATTTAACTTATTCTGAGGTGAAAAAATCTGTCAAGGTGTTTCAAAGGTGGGAGAGATAGAAAAAAAATTAAAAATAGAATAAAAGAGATTAAAATATTACATGTTATACGAAACGTTAGAGAAAAATAACGGGACTGATAATGTCTAATTATACTACGCTTTAATGTTATTGTTATTATTATTATTAATGTGGTAATTTTATTAAGTTTTAGTGTCTGATCAATCCAGAATCTGGATCTGCCAAACTAAAAGCAAACAAATAAAATAACCAAACTAATGAATAAATAATGAAAAAATACATTTCTATGATCTTAGAAATATAAACCTCTTGATCTTGAGGACTTTTGGGGAAAACATGTTGTTGTTTTTTACATTTCTTCTTGTGATTGTTATTAATACTTTTATAACTGTGTTGATCCTGAATCAGGATAAACAGAAAGGATCAAATTGAACCCTAGTTCTGGGTCCACCCCCCCTCACCTGACTCCGTCTCTCCTTATCTCTCAGGGACCTTCGGCAGCCCGGGGAGACGCGGCCGGCAGACCTACACGCGCTACCAAACCCTGGAGCTGGAGAAGGAGTTCCACTTTAACCGGTACCTCACGCGGCGACGGCGCATCGAAATTGCGCACGCGCTCTGCCTCACGGAGCGCCAGATTAAAATCTGGTTCCAGAACCGGAGGATGAAGTGGAAGAAGGAGAACAAGCTGATTAACTCATCGTCTTCCTCCTCCTCCACGGTAAACGGTACAGAGGAGGAAGAGAAACGGACGGAGTGAAAGCGAAGAGATGACGAAGACATTTAAAAAAGAGGAGAAGGATGAAAGGAAATCCATGCTGGTTATTCCAAATCTGGTTGATAGGTGTGGACGTGTCGTGAGCCCACTGCTTCTTTCATTTCCGTGTAGGAGGAACTGAGATGCTTTTCTCCTTCACTTCTCTCCAGGGTCCGGGTCTCCTAAAACTCACTATTGACTTATATTTAAATGTTTTTTTATTCCCAAAACATTTAAAAGAGAAAATGCATTCTCATAAACCATAAATGCTAATTATGCGGAGGAATAAAACTTGATAAAAGCAAAGAAAATTTGAAAGAAATAGACATAAAAGTGTGTATGTATGTGTATAAAAATTGGCCTGTTTTTTTTTGTAAATTCTGAACAATAATAAAGTTTCAGGATGTGTATTTTTATCCTGAAAGGCGCAGATCGCATATGAAGGTTATAAGACGCTCAGAAACTAGAGCTCATTTACAGCATTCCAACGTAACTACCTAAATTCTTACTGAAGCTGTTTTGTTTGTATGATTTTTAAGTATTTTTTAGGCACTTGCTTTGAAGGAAACACTTCCTCGTTTTTTTGTTTCTTTCTTGTTTTTGTTATAATGAGTTGTAGGCCTATCTTGTGTTCCTCACATACCAAACCAACAGGGGAGGGAAGGGGAGTGGGTTCGCTGTACATATTGTAGCTAAAATACAGATTTAGATAAAGGGAAAAAATCATTTGTAATGTGAAAATATGTTTCTGTTTTAAAGGGTCTTAAATGTTGTTTTTAGCTCTTATTTTCCCACTTAGATCTAAAGAAAAGCGCGTTGAGGTGTTGACCTACTGATGTTCTCCAAACTACCCAAACACCTTAAGAAGAGTGTACATTTGATGGAATTTGTAGGTTTATTTTAGTGGGTTTTTTTGTTTTCTTTTTGTCCAGTACGTATACTACCTATGAGAAATGTACAATAAACTTTAAAGAAGTGTATGATGAAATGTTGGCCCTTTTCTTTCAAACACAGAAAATAGTTTTTTTTTTTTTTTTTTTTTTTTTTGGTGATTCAGCGATTTATGTCCGTTTGCTCCAGAGACTCGTAAACCTTTTAGCCTTTTTTTATGTAAGTGTGAAACATGCGGTACTCGAGGCACGAGCTGCGGTGGTTCGGTGGCTGTCAGGGGCCTGGAGGCCGGGGGTCCGGGGCCAATTAGGTGCAGTGATCGCGGGGGAAGTGAAAGCGGCCTGAAATAATGAATGAGCCGCAGAGCCGCGCAGAGAAAGTTGACCTGTCCTCGACCAGGCCGGTCAGACATGTTGCACACACACACACTCTCTTCACCCAGACAAAGTGGACAATGTCCTGGTGACCTTTTGAACTCTGCTTGTCCCCGGAGTTACCGACGAGCCGAGCTGAAGTGAAGCAGCCTCAGAAAAATGGCGGAGTGTTTATTAGAGCTGGGAAACCAAACAGGACATTAACAAAACCAGCATGCCTGCAATTACTAACCTCATTCTATTCATTAACTCCGATAAAAACTTAGTTATCTAATCAAACAAGATTATGACCAATGAAGGATGCAGTAATGGAACCATATACATACAAATATAGAGATTTATGGCAAAAGTAGTTTATTTAACGGATGGCTCATAATGCGCACATTAAGACAGAAACGTTGAAGGTGCATCGACAAACAAAAAACCCCCATTTTAAACTAATTAAAAAAAAATTTTTTGTTAATGTCGTTTTTTAAGTAAAAAAAAGTAATATACTTCCTTATTATTCAGCGTTCGGAAGTGATGGATTTCAATAAAAGTCACAAAATGTTTAATAAAGGTTTAATTTCAAGCTAAAAAGGAAAATTTGAGGTTTTTAGATACGAATTCTTATTTTCTTTGGATAAATCGTTTCCCAAAATGAACCTCTGACATGTTGCTCGGTGAAAAAAATGTATTTAGAGATAAATTTATGCAGAAAGTTTATAAAGCAAAAAAAAAAATAGTAATCTCTCTCATTGGAAGATCGAAGCGATGAGCTTAAAGTGAGCAGAGATGAGCTGCGCAATGGTGGAAATATAAACTGGAAATTCTTCTTTGGGTTTTTTCCTGAATATCAGTTTTTGTTTTTAATTTTAATTCTACGATATATGACGTAAATTGAATTCGTAGCTTCTTTAATTGCTGGTATGATTATTATTGTTGTGGAGGTTTGGTCATTATTTTAATTCTAACTCTGTTAGAGTAAAGGAATGCAGCCTGAGACATAGACACACAGAATCTATCCGATTAATATCTATTTAAACAAACAAACAAAAATGAATTCGTGATCTTCCTCTGGCTCTGAGTGTGTGAGTGTTTTAACAAAGCATGCTCGCTCTGGGGCACCCTGGCCTGCAATGCATCCCAACCCAGGAATCAACAAATCATAAATCAGCAGATTTCTACCCTGTTTGGCAACAGATCACATTGAACATTCCACCACTGCAGTTGAGGGGAAAGCATAGGAAACCAGAGAGAAGGTAGCCAGTAAAAAAAAACCCAAAAAGAACCTGGAAAGTATAAAAACCAAAGATGAGCTGGTTTGTTATTGTCTGCTGCTTCTTTATACTCTCAAAAAATGCTTTCATTGCTTTATTTGGTGCTAAATTGAGGAGATTCTTTAATTACTCTGATTGCATCCATTGATGAAACTCACACTCTCCTTCCTTACCTCTGATGTTGGGTATTTATTATTTGCTTCATCTGCACTCTTATAATTCTCCTTACTATCAGGTGTGTTACTCCCATTTCATCATTAGAGCAGTTTTTCTTACACAGATCTCGGTTTCTCCTGCAGAGGGAAGCTTCTGATTGGAATGTGAGCCGAAGGTGGAAGGCAGAGTCTTGTTTTTATTATCATTCTGTATGTGCATGGTCTCCGCTTTCTAATTTGCTCCCTCCCTAAATGTGCTCGGCGGTGCATGGATGATCGAGCATGGGTACAGCCTGGGAGGGGGGGGACATGTAGGAGAAATTGACTGTTTTATATGAATCCCATTTCAAAGTGCCAACACTCTCTGCCCTTCTCCCTGTCCTCCCTATGTGTGCAGTGAATCATATTTGCAGTAGGTGGCGCTCTTCATTCACCAGCCGACACTGCTGGCAACCGAAAAAGGCAGCATGAAGAGGGGGAGGGAAGGAGGCTCAAGCCTTTATCATTAGAAACCTCAGAGCATGAATTACCTCCACGAAGTCATCGGCGAGAATTTACGAGTGGTCTGCAAAACAGTCACGTGATCGCGGCCCCTCCCTCTCCGTCTCCTCCCTCGCCTCCCCCATGACACACACACACACTCACACACATCTACATCCAACACCCCACCCCCCTATTTGGACGGCGCATACAAAGCTAAAAACGAAGTACAGTGCAACGCCATAATTCACTAATACATCATAAATCGTTGAAAGTACCAGGGTTGTAACGACCGGGAGAAATCTAACAAATCAGGCCCCCCCCCCCCCCTCCAACACCCCCCCTTTACAACTCAGCTGTTTGCCTGTAACTCTGTAAAACAACTAAATGAGTTCCTACTTTGTAAACTCGTTCTCGAACGGTCCCGACTATCAGCTGCTAAATTATGGAGCCAGCAGCGGCGCAATGAACAGCGGGACGTTCAGGGACTCCTCCTCCGCCACCATGCACCATGCGACGGGCTCCTATGGCTACGGCTACAGCGGCATGGATCTGACCGTATCCAGCCGAGGAGGGGGGGGCAACCGAGCCGCGAGCACCGGAGGACAGTTCGGGGGAGGCTCGGCGGTTGAGTTCTCCAGGGGTTTCGGCTTCAGACAGCCGGCCAGTTGCTCCCTCTCCTCTGGGGGGAGTTCTCTCCTGACAGGCGGCCGTGAGAACAACAAGCCGGGCGCGCAGAGATCTCCCACCTCAGAGCGACCAGGAAGCAGCAACCTCAGCTCTCCAAACCTGTCCGCCGCGGCTGGCGGCACGACGCCGCGCTTCACGGAGCTTGAAGACGCTTCGGGAGACAGCGAGGACCTGCTGGACTGCAGAGATGCCGTCCGTGGGGATGATTCACCGCCCGATCCGGCGCGATCCAGAGCAGCTGAGAAGCAGGAAGGCGACCCGGCGGGCTCAGCTGCTGGCACCAGGGGCAGTGACGCGCACGCACCTCAGATTTTCCCCTGGATGAGAAAACTGCACATAAGCCATGGTACATTCTGGCTCTCGGCAAATACACACATTTTAATTCAGAGGTTTAAACTTTAAGCTAAATACTTTCATCTACTTATGTAGAAGAAGTTGATGTGGAAATAGATTCTTATGCTTATTTATGGAAGCTCTCTATCCACATGGAAAGATGTAGAAAAAGCATCAAAGCCTTTATATTATCTGAATAAACCCAACAGTTTATCCTGTTGTCTGTTCTGTTATTTAGCGAAACATTTAGCTTAGAAAGAAAATATAGCAGATAAAAGGCGGAACATTTTAGCTGGTGTCTTTATTTTTAGATGTGATGTTATAGATTTTATTCTGATATCTAAAAAAATAATCCAATCGTCATGAGATGTAGCAGTTTGAGAAGGAGAAACCTCAGAGGCACTGCTTGGGTTATTCTCTCCTCTATCGTTGTGCCTTTTTTTAAAATCTCACAAAAGCCACATAAATCTGCCAAAGGTGAGCAAAGCTGGACTGCAAAGCCCAGCAGACTGGGGGAGCACACATGGACCGGGTGGGAAGAAAAAAGCAGCAGGGAGGGAAAGAATGAGAGGCTCTACAGGCTTTGGAGGTTGCTGCTTCTTTGAAAAGTCAAGCTTTATTAGGTGTGGAAACTTTATTAAAGAGGTGAGGCAGAGGACGAGGCAATAAATCCTGGAAGGGACCTGAAGGCTGGGATGTTTAGGTGAGGGTGATGTTTAAAAGGATGGGGGGAAGGGGGTTAAAAAAGGCAAACCTTAAGAATATAGTGATTAAAAAAAGCTATATTTTATTTGCTTTTATTTAATAAAAAATATTACCCAAATTCACCACGCGTCAGGTTAAGTAAAACACCTGTAGCTACGACGTTAGAGGCAGAACAGACTTCTATGATTTAAAGCAAATGAGCTGTTGTGTAAAAATAAGTGAATGATGCTTCTAATGGGTGTTTTTTTATTTTTGTGGCACATTAACCCCCCCATTTTGTGCGATGATGGCCGTTTGTTGCGCCACACATGGGGCCCTCTGTCCTAACAGCCTTGTGTTGCTTCCAAACCCCTCAGATATGACGGGCCCGGACGGGAAAAGGGCGCGGACAGCCTACACCCGCTATCAGACTCTGGAGCTGGAGAAGGAGTTCCACTTCAACCGGTACCTCACGCGGCGGCGGCGCATCGAGATTGCTCACGCGCTCTGCCTCACGGAACGACAGATCAAGATCTGGTTCCAGAACCGGAGAATGAAGTGGAAGAAGGACAACAAGCTTAAAAGTATGAGTCTGGCTCCGGCCGGCGGTGCCTACCAACCCTAGGAGGAAGGAGAAGCTGCTCCTTCAGCTTCATGACGTGTTTGTCTGGGAGGCAAACTGGACAAAAGCGCAAAGAGGTGTCCAAGGGAAAGGGAAAAATAAAACATGATGAAAAACACAAAGTAAAGAAGAAGGCTGGTGGAAATGGAATAAATAGAGGACGATGAAGAAAATAGTGGCAGGATGAATCGGATTCCATCTTTGATTCAAAGTACAATGTTTGTTCTCCAGTTAGTAGCTGTGATGTTCAGTTCAGCACTTTTTATTCGTGTCCTTTACGTCGGTTTGTGAGGGCAGCAGAAAAAAAACAAGGCTGGTACTATCTATCCATCTATATATATATCTATTTATCTTCATATATATATCTATATATACATCTATAGATATACATATATACAGAGATAAATAGATGTATATATATGTACATATATACATCTATTTATCCCTATATATGTTTTACTTTCCGGCTGCCTGCCTATTATCTAGTGTCCGATGTGTGAATATTTAGTGTGATATTTTCCTTTTGTATTCAGTCATCCTCTTAAGTTATTTCCATCCAGTGAAGCTCAGCCCCTCCCTGCTTAACCCCCCCATCCCTTCCCCGTCCTCTCACCGTGTTTCAAGCACCATTGAAACCTGAACTCACTTTTACTGTGGAAGAAGGGAAAATGTTTGCGTGTTTGTGAATGAGGTCGTGCTAAAAAAGTGCGCGTGTGTTTGTGAACCAATCGAGCGGCCTTCGTGTCCCTGTCCGTCCCTTGTTTCTGTGTAACCGACCGAAATATATCGTTGTTGTGATTATTTGTTGAATGTGTCACATCTGATGTACACACACACACACACACACACACAGATATGGTGACGTTTTGACGGCTGTGGTTGCGTTTGTGTGAGCGCGTGGGTGAATGAGAGCTGTGCGGTATTGTGTCCTTGTAAACTTTCTGTCAGTGAGCTTTTTGTAACTGTTTCGGATTTGAGTGAAACATAATTATGAATAAAGTTTCTCACGGTAAAGCGGAGTGGACAGCATGACGCAGCTGTTCACAGAGGAAAACTGGATTTTTTTGTAGAGCTTAACGCATTATTCAGCAACAGGAGCTCAAAAATGCATGAAAAAATACTCCATATTTAAAGAAGCTTATATGGGAGTGAAGCTTATATGAAGAAAAAAAGTATATTCTCCAAAAAATTCTTCGTGCATCTCGCAGGCCTGCCTGGAACCTGAGCCTAGAAATATCTAAAGCTCAAAGGATAAAGGCGACATTTAAGCACAAACCTGATCAGTTAAACAAAAAAGGAAGAAAACAATAAAGGCCAAATTAAGTTCAGAGTTTTCTACCTAAAAACAAATGACCATCGGTGGTCAAATGCGTCACGTTTCTGTCCTTTCCGCGTCGAACGGAAGCAGCTTCCAGAAAATCCAGTTATTGTCTCCTGATTATCTCTGCTTGTAAACAACCGAATGAACTTTTAAACTCACCGGCTGCTGACACTGTTTCCCTGTAAACTCCCCGCGTTACGCGCGGGCCACACGGGTCCTTCTCCGAGCCTCATCCGGCCATAACCTCCCGGCCCTTCCTGCGTGCTGTGTGTGGGTTGCTGTTTTAAAGCCATGTATAGATTTTTAAACTAAACTCTCTTCCTGCTTTGGGCCAAACTGAAAAATGGAGGCAGCTTTGACATTTACGTGTCAAACAGATGAGGGGTTTTATCTCCAAGTTGGATCGTAAAAATCTGTTTTGATTCCTCTCACTGGCTCTCCTCTGGTCACGTGGGGTCCATAAAGTTAGTTTTATGGTTTAGGGGAGTTGACAATGTATTTCACATTCTAGAAAGCAAGTGACGGTTTAACGGCTTCGTGTGGATCCTAAAAGGGTCAGTAAAACAGAGACGGAGCGGGAGAAGCGGTGTGTGCGTTTATGTGTGCGTGAGACGGAGAGAGAGAGAGAGAAAGGGAAACAGAGAGAGAGAACAGGCCACTATTAGCGGCAGCTGTTCCTGCTCAGGTTCGCACTTGGAGCCCGGAGATCTCCGCTGTGTTCCGCTGAGGAGTCTGGAGGCAGGCGAAGGACAGGCAGCAGGCACAGTAAGTGGAAGAAGGGCTCCCGGTAAGTGGGAGCTAAGTAGAAACAGGGGCGGTTTGGCTGAAGTGTGTGTGTGTGAGGTGGGGGGGTGGGGAGGGGGGTGCAATTAACGTGTCACTCATTGAGTGTGAGTGGTCCTCTAGTAGGGAGCGGTGAGCAGCTCTGGTCCTTCTGCTGCTGAAGGCCGCGCGGCGGTGCTGCGCCACCGGTGGAACATGGAGCGCCGTTAAAAGCGCAAACACTGCGCGGCTTTACAGCGTGTCCATGAAAGATGGCGCACAGCCAGGCATGCCGTGACTTCCACCGACTGCTCCCATTCTTCTGCTTGTTCTCATTGTTACATAGTTATATAGGGAATTCCAAAGTTTATATGCGGGATTTTATTATCCCACCATTCAGTGAAAAAGAATCTGGTTGGAAAGTGAAACAAAACATAAAATATTGGTTTAAGAGGATTGTTGTATATGTCAGGAAAAAAGAAAAGGAAAACAGTTTTTTTTTACTACATTTTTAAACTTCAGACTCGTAAAAATATATAATAATATATATATTTTTAAATTAACTTGTGGGGTCCAAAGGCTGGTCCTAATCTGATGGATCATCTTTTTAATGTCAGGGAGTCAGTTTAGATTTAGAAGTAATTTTATTTTAGGGGTTATTTTTTAGATAAACTAGGAAAATGTCAGGATTTGGTAAAAGGCAAAAGCTAAAATAAATGTAGGTCAGTAAAAAGTCTTAATATGTATAGAATTGCAAAGTTGTGTGTGGTGTGTGTGTGTGCTGGGAAGGGGGGGGGGTGTTACGATTTATCACAGACAAAATAAATCATATTTTGTGTAGATTTTATCAAACCCTCTCCCAAAAAGGTTGTTGGAATATTGAACAAAAAAAAAAAAAAAATCAAGCAAATTGCATCATCCTGAATAAACTGGTGTTAAGCTAAATCTAACAGGAGTTCCCACCGTCTGAAGGTGTTGCATAATTTAAATAATTATATTATAACAGAAACGGAATCAGGAAATTGTTGTCAAACTTTCTTCTGTGCATCAGATCCCATCTGGAACTGGATTACATGCTGGTTGTTGTTGCTTTGTTGATTTCTAACTTTCAGTCCACTGTTTCACTTTAATCCCAAACAGGCTGGAAACTGGTGAAAAGTTTAGGTCTAACTTAAATGTTTTCCTTCATTCCTCTCTCATCCACTTATTTTCTTAATATTAGGTTAAGAAAATAAGTGGATGAGAATTATATACTCAAATATGAGGATGTTTGTCACTAAGAGGACGAGAAAGGAGTGAAGGAAGCCATGTAGGTAAAGGCCTTCAGCTCTCAGAAACACTTCTGATCCCCGGTCAGTTTTAGACCATTTCTCAAAGCGTTTAATGCGACTAAAAATCTCTCAGGTAACCAGACTAGCAGTGGCGCTGATGACGACCTGATAATAGGGGAGTCCAAGCTGCATCCGGATTTTTAATCTGCTTAAGACGATCTAAACACACCCAGAACTGTGGCTGCAAAAAAGTAGAACAAAAAACCGACTTCAGTGAAGCAACAAACATATTTATATGTAGAAAAATGCTTTTGTTTTTCTATG